TTTGTTTATCATGCCTCTCCTTGTCTTTTGCATTCTCCCAATCAAGAATAAGATGATGATCAAGTTCTTCCCATAGTCCTTCTAGGGTTGCAAATACGTGGCAACTGTCATATCTCCTTGTCTCAATGCAGCAATGTCTTGGTTCAGCCTATAAATTCTGGCATTGTTCTTTCTTTGTCCATAAGTTTTAGAGACTTTCTCCCAAATCTTATCAGCAGTAGGAAAGTGTTGAACAGTCCTGGCCACTCTTGAAGTCATCGAATGCATACTCCACACTACCCACTACAAGTTCCTTCTTCTGTCCATCTAGGTAACCCATAAGTTCTCGGGAAGTAATGAAGAGCATGGTTGAAACAGACCATTCTCTAAAATTGTATTCATCCAACAATACACTGGTGATCTGCAAGCTGTGCAGATTTGGATTTTCCAGATTAGGAGACCTCCCACCAGTTCTATGATCCCTAGAAGACACTTCTCCCGATATTGAAGACATCTCCTTCCTCTTACAGTGATCACAATTGAAAACTCAGTACAAAGAACACTATTTCAGACTTACCGAAGCTGTTGCAGGTCTGAGAACTCCTTGTAACAGGTCTGAAACCAAGGACAATCCACCTCTGTACTGTGCTGAACTCTTCTGGACTAGACTGGGCTTTGACTTCTGCTGTTGTAGACTGTGATCACCCGTACGATCTGTACTAGGACTGTCGAAGTCAGTCCTTCCACCTAGATCTGTTCCACACAGATCTCTCTTAGCAGCTGAATGGCTACTACCTGCTGCAAGGTGTCTTGTAGGGCATCGATTGCTGGAATAAACTCCCCTTGGGCCCTACAACCAAGGGAAACCCTAGATACAGACCTTGCTGTGTTCTACAGTCAGCCCTAGGGTTTCTTCACAGCGACCAAGATAGGAGAGAGAGAGAGAGGAAAAAGAATGGAATAGGGAAGAGCAGAAAAAGTGGCGGCTGTAATCAGACAGACGAATTAGTGCTCTGATACCACGTTTGCTGGAATACAACAGCCGAAGAAGAAGAAGAAGAAGAAGAAGAAGAAGAAGAAGAAGATTTGAGAAAGGCGGCATGCACTCTTCAGCCGGCCCTACAATCTTATATAGATGATTATAAAATAATATTACATGAATGGACTAGAATGCCCCTGATTAGTGATGGGACACCTAGACAAATAAAACAAATAAAACATTAAACAAGTTTAGGCCCAATAACTAAGAACTTAAGACACAAATATGACTAACATAAATACTAAAAAACAGCCGAACCAACATTAACTATTCCATCTCAAATTTCCTTTGCAATATCAGCCCACAAGAAATTCTTACTAATATGAGGTAACATAGAATTACACAACCAAGTCATTACCATGTAATTCTCTTACATCCACTGAGAAGAATTTGTATTAGGTTTCTTCTCCTCTAGAAATATACCCTAGTTACCACGTGCACCAATAGCCATCTTGGCTGATTGTGCCCATTCTAGATAGTGTGTACCATCTAATTTAACTGTAGTGATAATCCTAGATCCCAAAGGATCACTAGTACCTCCTACACCCAAACCAAGGTCATTGGTTGATTTCAGTTCAACATGACAACCCTCCATAATATCTCAAACAGCTTACAACAGTAGTAAGAGGCAAAGAAAAAGCTCTTGTTTTAGATCGATTTCACTTGTATAATGAAAAATCGTTCTGGAGACAAAAAACACTTACCTGGAGAGAATTCTCCTTATTTGGGAACTGATAGAAACAGGAGAAGAGGATGTTAATCTCTCCAGAAGGCCTAGAATCAGCTAGAAACAAGATCATCCACTATAGGAAGCCTCAAGAAATCCAGAAAACCTTGAGCACCCAATTCTAGGTCAAAAACAAAGAATCCACTCTGACTTGGACTCTTTCTCTTACTCCAGTTCTTCCTGATTTTGATGCCTAATTACAGATCGCCCTCTTGGTGACTGAATCTCATAAAAAATCCAAGAGCTGGACCTTCCTTGATCAAGCGATCAACCTCTTTACTTCTTCATGTAGTTGGCTGATCTAGGGCTGCATGAATACAGTTTCAAAAACACCTAAAACTGCTCTGATACCAAGTAGAAATCAGTAGAAGTAAAAATTGTAAGAAAAAAAAGGAAGAAGATGATTTGTGGGAGAGAAAGAAGAGAAACATGGGAGAAAGAGAAGAGGAATGAATCATAATGGCCGGCTCTCTCTCATTAGCTTTTATACTTAAAAGAAAAAAACATGTACAATGTCCAATATACCCTTGATGGGGCAACTACTGCTAACAACTTAAAAATAAAAACAAGCTATTGCTTAGAAGAGCTCCTAACTAAAGGGCTTTGGTCCAAATATGCTAACTAAACAAAAATAAACAACTAACAGGAAATCCTCAACAATTACGAAATCAGATAGGATTAATTTCTGATTGCAAGGCTGAATCCCTTATTAAGGTAGTTCGAGATCTGTTGGCTTGGCTGAAAGCCTCTCTGGGGTACTGGGGTATAGGAAGTGAATAGAGATGTTTTGCATTTCTTATATGCCAACTTGATAAATTTTTTTTTTGTATCTTTTATGCATGATGTAAAGGGGATCTCTAGGGGCTGCCATTAACACTCGTTTGATACCAAGGAGATGGTGTCATATCTATTTTTTTCTATGTTAAGACACACCTTAATTGTTTACAGTGAAAAATGAAAAAGAATAATCATTACATGATGCAATTCTAGTTCCAGGATCAAAGGGACTAGTAGCTGTCTCTCTGTCTCATTTTGGGTGATGGGAACACCTTTATGCATTTTACCTCTAAGTGGCGTATCTCATGTATCCATGATGCACTAGAACCTAGGGTTTATGTTACTAATGCTACGATGTGATGTCACTGTAACTTTTCAATTCATTGAAAAATCTTTTATTTTCCTCTTCTAATTTTTATTCTTAATTTGTTTATTTTTTTTGTTTTGTTTTGTTTTTGTGGGGATGATCCATTCCATAAAGAAAAATTAGGATGATCCCTTACCATATGTGTTCTCAGATTCACCATAATGATCTGAAATGTATTTTCCAATGATTTACCTGGATGCTTAAATGAGAATATTGCTGGGTGATATCCATTAAATGGAAATGAAAGTTTTTTTTTCCCTTTTTTTGCTGGATATTAGATGTATTTCATTTGTTTATTATGTGATTAAAATCATAGACATGTGTCCTATGGTTGTAGTGTGTTCTTCCAGCTGGTGTGGAGTTCTATTCATCAGGGCTCAATCCTAATGATGCCTCAACATTCCCGAAGAGCTATCCAATAGTTTTAACAGGTACAATCTATAACCTTTAAATATTCTGGTAAGTCTTCTGGATATTTAAGAGTTTGTTGAAAACTTTGGTCCTTAACTAGTGTTTTTTTTTCTGGGTTGGTCCTTAACTAGAGTTGATTGTATTGGTATGTACTATGAGACTATCAGTTGTTTGCTTTGCTTATAGGTGGAAAAATTGTTGGTTATGTTTGAATGATGGTCATTTGAACAACATATAAAAAGTAGTATCGGGCAACAACCAACCATTCATTAGCCAGCCCATGCTTACAAAATGGAGGAGCCAATAAGAGTATGTGGTCCAGAAAATATCATAAAATGCCATTATGAAGCAACCAACAATGGAGGAAGGAGAAAGGAATTTCTCACTGATAGAACATGGGGGAATGGAGGAAGGAGGAACAAAGGAATTTCTTGCTGGTGGAAGTGGAACAAATCACAAGAAGGCCCATGACTCAAAGTTTAGTTTAAAAGGTTTTAAGGAGAGAGTAAATAAGTTGGAGAGAAAAATTCATAAGCAATGGATCAAAGAAGGGGCTATGAATTCCTGATTTTCTGATCTCACAGTATTGCAAATGGGAGGAGACAAAAAACCTTATCATCAAATTGGCTATGGATTGGGAGGAATTCATGGCCGACATTTGTCTCCCATTTCCAAACTTTTATGTCTGTCACCCATTTTAGACGGTCTGTTGAGGGTGGGAAGAGGCAGCAAGGAAAGCAACCTTTACAATGGACAAGGATAAATCCCTTGGTCTAGATTGTTTCACCATGAGCTTTTACCAGAATTGTTTGGTTAGTTAAAAGAAGACCATATGGAAGTGTTTGGGGTATTTCATATTTTCATTTCTGAAGGCATCATCAAGGAGAGTGTGAGTTTTACTTTCACATCTCTTTTTTCTTATGAAGAGGGTTTTGAACCTAACTTTACGCCAGTTTATCTAGTTGGGAATCTGTGTGGGACAATCTTGAAAGTGATTCATTGAGAATGAAAGTTCTCCAACCTTTGGTTTATTCATTTTAAGGAGTGTTTTAGATGGAAGGCAAAATTTCTAATTTCTAATGAAAAGATTGGATGTTTTGAAATGGTCAGGGACAAAGTGGTTGTATGCAAACTTGGAGAAAGTCTACAATCATGTGAAGTGAGATTTCTGGATAGGGATGTAAATGGCATCAATTTATCCAAATTCGAATTCGATCTGGTTATTTTGATCCATTAATTATTTTATTGTTATTAAAGCATAATCTTTCTCTTTATTCATATTGTTTTTTAGCTGTTCTGCATTTATGGTTTTCTTGATTTTTTTGAGCTTTATTTGTTTCCTGTCAATGTTTCTAATAGTTTATCTTGTTTTCCTGGAGTCTTACTTATTGCTCTTAATTTGGAAAATTTACTACAGAGGGTGATGGATCTAAAATATATGTTAGCTGCATTGCTTTTCGGGATCCAGTCTGTGATGATATAGCTGAAGCTTACCGCATTCCCGCAAATTCTTTTGCTGACAAGTGCATTTGTCTTGTTTCACGCTCACCCAGTTTTCGTGTTCTTCGGGATGCACTGGAGGAATTATTTGCTCTTTGCTTTTCTCCTGATGGCAGTAGGTATTATTTTTAGATGATAGAAGTTTGATCGTCTCTATCTATTGTATGCTAATGGATCTATTTCATATATGGTCGGTTGTACATCAAAGTAGCCTTACATTCATCAAATATTGCTTTCTTACATGTTAGTTTTGCATGTTTTGATGACTAATATTCTTTTACATTCTTTTAGACATTATTAAATGATGATGAAATAATGTGCTTCCCAGTCGTACTTACTGGGAGACACTTGGAGTAAATAAAAAATTGTTGGACTGGGGTTTGCTTGGTCCCGGGAGGGATGTGTATCAAAATCATACTTAAATGTTTACAACCTAATTTGTAGTTTGTATATGTACTTGTCCTATATTCTATTTCTGGAACGTATGGTCTTTTTGTAATAATATTACACAACTTCAATGGTAAAAAGTGTGTTTCCCAATCACACATTTCTAATTCATCTGCCTTCACACTTTCCAATCTTAGCACCGTAAAAAGTATTTGTTGGAAGTTGAAGGGCTTGGGTATGATGATGTGCCTTCAAAGATTTCATTTTTTGTATGGACGGCTTACCTCAACAGAATACTTACAAGGGATAACCTCTCTCGGAAAGGTGCTCTTCTGGACTCGAATAGCTGTCTCCTATGCGAAGAACATCTGGAAACAGTGAATCATCTATTACTACTGTAAATTTTCTTCAGAGATCTGGAACATAATCTCACAATTATTTGAAGTGAAAAGTTGCTGCCCAGGTTCGGTACAGGATTTTGTAAAAGGTTGGAGGGTGGAAGGCTTGAGTAGAAAAGGAAGATTAGTTTGGAATTTAACCCCAACAGTGGTTTTTTGGTGTCTGTGGCAAGAAAGAAACAGTTGGGTTTTCAAAAATAAGACAAATTCTGCTAACTCCTTTTTCAGAAAATTGTGGGAATGATGTTCTAGTCACAGGCTGGTTAGGAGTATAGGTTGAGTCCTTTTTTGTACATGATAATCTTTTTGTAAAGCAGGGTGGGGAGATCAAGTTTAGAGGGAACAGTTTTTTTCTGGTTCCTTTAGCACATCATCTTTCTGTACATTTTGTTCATAGTTAATACAATGATACTTTACTTTCTCTCTCTCTCAAAAAAAAAAAGATGTGTTTACTTACTTTCAAACTTTATCAATTAGAGCTTTGGTTTTTGAATGCTTTATTTTAAGTATTCTGATATAATTGTGTCAGAGGAATTTTCTATGTTGTAGACTTGTATGTAACTTCTTAGCTGTGCATCACTTTCAGCAAGCCTCTGTGGGATATTATAGCATATATTGTATCAGGCGTTCCTTTGCCTACTCCTGGAAAGGATCGAGTCCTTTTTGCTATTGAGAACTGCCTGCTTTCTGTGGAGGCTCCAACAAAGGACGGACTCCCATATGCTGATGTATGGTTCCTTTAAATCTGTTCTCATGTTGGCAATTAGCTTCTACAATATAATATTGATGAACTATATGTATCTTGTTAAAATCAGTCAATGCTTTTCACAACTGTTATTTGTGTTTTACTTGGTGCAGATATCTTTTCAGCCACTAGTACAGTGCTTGGATGTTGATAACTTGATTACGCTTTTCACTGCAGTGTTGCTTGAGAGAAGGATTTTGCTCCGCTCAAACAAGTACTTCCCTGATTTTGAACATTTAAAATTCAGTTCCTCCTCTAAAGTCCATTGTAACTTAGTAATGCATTATAATTCTTTATCTGAAATTTCTAGTTTAAATGCTGGACAAAATAATTACTTAACCACCATCTTAATAGCCAGTAATTTAGATTTAGTTTTATGGACATTGCTATAATTGTTGAAAACTGGTTAATACAATAGATTGGCTCTAGCCACCCATAAAGACATTATCCAACCCCCAACAGAGTTACAATAGTGCCCAAAACAACTGCTATCTATAGACCCCTTGTTTTGCTAAAGTATCGACCACTCCATTTGCAGTCCCAATTGAAAGTAATGTTCTGCTCCTGTGAGAGGCTCTCTATTTTCCTAAAAGCGTGCCTACAGATCCATGGCACACGATGCTTACTCCTGGCCCAAGAAACAACCAGTTTTGAGTCTCCCTCTACTTCCAAGTGTTGAAAGTTTGATTGCTTAGCCAGTTTTAAGCCTTGCAACAATGCCATCAGTTCAGCCTTTAGTGAATCTCCCAATCCCAACAGTCTAAAAACATAGTCATCACTTTACCTGCACAATCTCTAAAAACTCCTCCAATACCTGCCACTCCCGAGCTTCCCATGGAGCTCCCATAAAAAATTTAATCTAATTTTATTAATTGTTGGGGGTATCCACTCCATAAACCCCTTTTCCTTTTCTTTAGAAGAAAGTACCATTAGCCCATGCCCTTAAAATTCACTAAAAATCCTTGGAAAAGATCAAGTGTCTTTATCCAATGCGCAACTTTGATTTTTATAACCCCAACAGTTTCCTCTTTTGATCTACTTTTCTCATTGAAGATCCTCCCATTCCTTTCCTACCAAACAATCGACAACATTGCTGCCCTAATTGCTTTCCACATGGTTCTCCCTCTCTTTTTTTGGCTATCTTAGGAAACTTGGATTGAAGAGGCTCACTACATCCTGTGGAGAATTCCCATCTGCAACCAAAAAGAGAACAAAAGAAGTCCCAAACACAAAGTACAAGAGGACAGGATGGCAATAAATGAGGTAAGGATTCACCACTTGCAAAGCAAAGGAAGCACATGTGAGGCGATAGGCATTTGTTTGGCTTTCTCTTCTAAAGCATATCACAAGTGTTTACCTTTCCAAGAAAAACTTTCCAACACAAAGCCTGAAGTTGGGGTAGGATAGGTTTGCTCCAAATCTCTTTCACTGGGAAATTCTCCCCCAAAGTATTAGACTACATAAGGGCATTGAAAAAGGAAGCACAAGAAAAAAACACCATCAGGAGCAGAAGACCAAACTCTAGTGTCCTCCACTGACTGATCTAGAAAAGTTAAATGAAATTTATCCAGTAGTTGAATGAGGGCTTCACACTCGCTATCCCTTAAACCCTTTCTAAAACCAAAGTCCCAGTTTAGCCTGGAAGGAGAAAAGGTAACAAATCTTGAGATAGGTTGTAATTTATAGTTAGACAAGGAGTAAAGGCTAGGGAAAGCAAATTGAAGGGGAGTTTTAGCCAACCAAAGATCTTCCCAAAACAATACTTGGGTCCCACAGCTCACATCAAATCTAGTGAAGCTAATAAAAGTTGGATATACCTCTTGTATTGATTTCCAAGGAGAAAGTGACGTTGAAGAAGGGGCTACCTTTGCACCCCAACCATTATTCAACATCCCATGAATCTTGCAATCATGCTAAAGCCTGTCACTTTCCAGTGGAAACCTCCATAACTATTTACCTAAAAGCGCTCTATTCCTACAAATTAGGTTCCCTATTCCAAGCCCTCCCTACTCCTTAGGTTTACTAACTTGCTCCCACCTCACTAAATGATCCCTCTTCTTGTCCCCTGGATCCCATAGGAATTCCCTTATGATCTTCTCTAACTAACCCGCTACTCTAGTTGGAATCCGAAAGGTGGAAAGGAAGTGTATAAGTAGGTTGGCCAAAGTTTCCCTAATACAAGTTGTTCTCCCACCCACTAAAATGTAATTCCTTTTCCAAAGTGCTAGTCTTTTAGTGAACCGTTTGACTACCTATTTTCAAAATTCTTTTGATCATTGGTTTCCCCCAGCGGAAGACCAAAATATTCCAAAGGCCAGTTCCTTACTGTGGAAAAATAAAGAGGAAGAGAAGAAGAAATGAAGAGGGAGAGAAAAGAAATACTTCTGTGTTGATAATGTGTTAATAAAACATGTTGAGCATACAACTTAAATAAAAAAAGATAGGAGAGACAAACTCCTAGGATCTCTCTCAATTACTCCTAGAATCTCTCTCAATTAGGGATTGATTAAATATTTCCCTTAATCCTAGGATATGACTTTCCTAATTTTATTCAAATCTAATCTTTCGTAAATTTATTAAAATCTGTAATCAATCAAATCTGTAATCAATCAAATCAAATCTTTCTAAATTTGCAGCAAATCATATCTTTCTTAATTTGCCGCAAATCATATCTTGTCGACACTTACCTCACACCCTAGAATCTTTGGCAACACACTTAGTTCTTCCTCCACATTAATCCCTGCTATGCAACTCTTTCCCAAGTTTACCCTCAAATTGGAGGCAGACTCAAAAGCGGCAATGAGTTCCTTTAAATTCCTTAGGTCATCTTGATTGTGTCCTTCATAGAACAAAAATATATCATCTGCAAACTGTAGATGGGTACTATCACCTTGTTTCTTCCTACCCTTAACCTCTAAGCAACCTTTCCTGATCAGTACTTTTTTTTATTTCTTTTGAAGGGCTACACAACAGGGGGTAGCCCATCCCCCAACCTAGGTGCAGGCAGGATTTGATCCCAAGTCTCCGCTACGACCAGCAGGAGACCTTACCAACCAGCTGGTTGGCACCTTGCTTCCTGATCAGTCTTAACAATCATCATGCTTAAGACATCTGCTATTAAAGTGAAGTGGAATGGGGATAAGGGATCTCCTTGTATCAACCCTTGTTGAGCTAGAAAAAAGTCTCTGGCCACTCCATTTATTAAAATTGAACAGTGTACTGAACTTTGCATCCTTTAATTCACATTCTCTATCTATCGTCCAACCCAATCTTATCTAGGATTTCAAGGAGGAAAGACCAATCCCCTAGATCATAGTTCTTCCCTAAATCCAGTTTACAAACTAAACTCCCCCCCCCCTTTAATCTCTTCTCTGCTACACACTCATTAGCCACCAAGATTTGATTAAGGGGAGTGGGAGAAGGTTTGTAGAGCAAAGGAGGGGGTAGACTTAGGGTAAAGTTATTTAATAAAATTCTGCTAGGGAAATGGCTGTGGAGGTTTGGGCAAGAGGGAGAAAGGGAGGCATTATGGAGAAGGGTGGTGGTAGGGAAATATGGAGTGGTGTGGTTTGGGTGGGAATCCAGGAGGTAAGAAGTTCCTATGGGGTGAGTGTATGGAAGGGAATCATGAGCTTCAATCAAAATTTCAGAAGTTTATTTAAGTTTAAAGTGGGGGAAGGCCTTAGGGTAAGGTTTTGGGAAGATGAGTGGTTGGAGGTGGGAAGATTATGTGAGGTATGTCCTAGACTTTATAAATTGACAGATCAGCAAGTGCCTATTGAGCAGTGTTACGAGTGGAGGGGGGAGCAAGTGGTCTGGAATCCTAAGTTTAGAAGACCTTTATTGGACCAAGAAGTGGAAGAATGCATTCAGATATTGGAGAAATTGGAAGAGGCTAACATTTCCAGAGATACAACAGATGGTTTATGGTGGAAAGATTGCAAAGAAGGACGATTTTCAGTTAAATCCTTTTACAAGGCTCTTCTGAGAGATGGTAGGGATTCAAATCAGATAAAAGGTGTGTGGGGCAATCCTGTTCCCCCAAGGGTAGAGGCTTTTGCCTGGCTGGTGGCACATGATAGTATCTTAACTTGTGATAATCTGAAATCCAGAGGCTTGCAGTATTCCATTTGCAGTGTGTTGGGCCATTTGGAAAGAGAGGAACAGAAGGGTATTTGAAGACAAGTCAAAAAACATCAAAAAACATCGAATATCTGATAGCAGGAGTGGGCAATATGACTTCAGCCTGGGCCCTAAGTCTTCCAGAGTTTGACCAAGTGCACAAGGCAGATCTGTTAGAAAACTTCTGGAGAATTGAATCCATGTAATTTTGATCCTTTTCAGCGTAATTCTGTTAAGCAGATGGTTTGTCATCTAGATAACCAGCATTTTGAGATGTACTGCATTTTTTCAATTTAATGAATTTCCTTTTTATTCTTCAAAAGAAAAAAAAAGATTTGATCAATGATCTGCCTTCATTTAATGCAAGTACTTTGGAACTGTGAGGTCACCAGAGAAAAAACCTTTTTAAATCTTTTTTTTAATCAGTAAAAAAGATTTCATTATAAATTTAGAAAGATTACAGAAATGAGAAGCCTTGGCTAACCCACTAGAACTTAGAGTTTGCCAACTATCGACTTTTAATTATCCAACCTTACAACTGAGCCCAGAAACAATGTTCCCTGTTAACCCCCTGTTTTGCTAGCTGATCTGCAAAGCCATTTGCCGCTCTTGGAGTCCACTGTATTAACAACCACATGTCCATGGAAAAGCAATTAAACTTCAATTTCATTTCTATAGAGCCAGGGAGTCTTTTCATTTTGCTTTAATTGGAATTGGCTTCCACAACCAGTTTTCTCACTTCCAACTTCATAGCCTTTTGTATCCCAAAAACCGCTGCCTTTAGTTCAGCTGTAGTGGAGTCTCCCCTTCCAATAGGGCCTGAGAACATCCCCACCACAGCTCCTTTGTCATTTTTTATCACCCCTCCAATTCCAGATATTCCTGGGTTGCCAAAACTACTTCCATCAAAGTTTAATTTGAGGAATCCATAGTCAGGGGGATCCCACTCTCTTAAAACCTTCTTTTTAGTTGATGAAGAGGAAGCTACTGTCCTCCAATTTCTGAAGATATCATCCACAGTAAAATCTGAGAACAATCCCATAGATTTTACCCACGAAATCACCTTTATCATGATCCCTTCTATCAGCACTT